GACATGCATTTGAATCACTATTGAATCGCTGTAATAAGTGTATTGAAGCCAGAGGAGAATATTTTGAATAATAAAATCAAAAAGTATGCATATTTGTTGTTTCAATTATGATTTTCAGGCCCTGTCCGGGAACATATTTGTCACACTGTGTCTATATATATATTATATATATATACATATATATTGCAACCTCACTCACGAGCGTGGCGCAACTTCGTCGCACATTCACAGCTAAGATTTTCGTAGGCGATCGGATGACGGGTGATGTTAAACGTGACCGAAATGCGTCTTACGCGGCCGCTCTTAAGGGTGGCACATAATCACAAAATAATAGTCGGGAGCCAGGCACGAGCGAGCGTGCCACTTTTTCTAGAAATTACGCGATATTTTCTTTACGTTTTCTTTATATTTTCTCCATTTTTAATGAGAATATCGACGGACTTTCAATCAGTAGCTCAACCTCGGAAATGGCAGAAGGAGCGGTTCGCGGTCGAGGATAGCAGATCGTTTGGAGGAGCGAATAGGGGCGAGAATAAAGTATACATGAGTCAACAATAACAAAAGTAACAAATATATTAAATAAGTCTTCGACTTGCATTACATCTGGCGATACAATCGACACGATAAGTTCTACTTGAGCACGATAACGGGCTCACGCAGGCCACGAGATTTACGCTGGACGTATCAACTTCGTTAGGTTCTCGCGACACGAGATGCTCTCGCGAATTATGCGAACAATACCTCATCGCCTCGCAAATACTAAGGAATTTGGCAACAATGTTAGCGTGGACACGGCGTGACTTCGTGCGCGCTCGCGGGGCTTCGCGCCGCTCAGCTGAGATGCAGAGAAGGCTCGAATGTCGTGCAAATGAATGAATCGTGCAAACTCGATGCTACGCAGTCTCGATACGACAGAATACGCACAATTATCAATTGCTATTATAAATTGTTGTTAATGGCTATGACACAGAGGACCGAATAGACATGCAAATCTTACGCTACAGACGCTCGAGACAACACGATACGCGACAATATTACGGTACGGAACTTCGACGCAACATACTTGTATGATCCGCGATAAAATCTAACGACGAATGACGAGGCTGTGGCCTTGGCGGACGCAATAGGATTACCCCGACGATAAAGGCCGTTCCGGGAGGCGACACGCGTACTTGAAATCCCTGAAAATCTACCACACGGTAATGCCACGTGCACTCAATATCATACACAGAATCCCGATAAAACGGCCGCCTCATGGCCTCGAGGTGCCTATTCGGGGCTCTCGCCGTCCTTGGGGCGTAGAGTGGCCTTCCCCGTCATGTCGTTCCACTCTCGATCCGCTTTGCGCCTGGAAGAGGGTGCGATAGGAAATGCCTTGCGATAATAAAAAGGGCATAATAATGAAGAATATCACCTGCGTGCAACCCGGGGTCAGGTGTCGTGCACCCCCGGCTGGTCCGTCAGCAGCGATCGTCTCTTGACTTCCAATCCTGGTCGTTCTTCCTCCTCTTCTCTCCGGTGAGGTGGCGTCATTCTGTCAAGGTCACGGGAGTCGCCGGTCTCTGTAACCCTTGGTACGAGAATACACAGAAATGGGAAAACAAAAACGGCAACGCGGAACGCGTAAGGTACGCAAACGACGTTGCGGGAAAAAAAGCACAAGTGCGTCCCCCAAAATGTGAGAGGACTCAGGACGCTAGACTGCACTGTTCGGTCAGGCCATACGGCCCTTGTGACGGACGGAAAACGTCACGTCACAATATATATACGTGTATATTATTAATTTTAAATATTACACTGGACTTATATATACTGACCCTTTGAGGCGGTGTAGCAAAATTCCACTTCGTGTATAAAACTTACATTGCACAGCCACAGAAACGCAGTACACCGAATGAATTCGCTTATCACTAGTCATAAAAACACGCTTATACAATGTCAGTATTAATGCAGCCAAAGATAAAGCTACAAGTACTCGTTCTCTCATGAAAATAAAAATCGGAGCTTAAGTCGAATGGAATTGGAGAGTATTAGATGCGTAACGTAACTTGTAGAAGGCAAAAAGGAACGTAAGAGAGAGATATTTACGTTCTTTTTATGTTCTGTTGTTTCAATTTTCACCTAGAAGTTCGTTTTACGCTTCTATTACTTTCTTATTACATTCTTTCTTATTACTTTCTTATTCGATTTACGCTTCGATTTTTATTTTTATTAGGACAAATTTCGTACGGTTCTGCAAAAAATTAAATTCTAAATGCGGCCATTTAAACATTTACATCGCGGTAATTTTGAAGTGATTAGCTTTAAAGATCAAAGGATACCTACTTGGTCCCTCCACCACCCACACTGATTTTTAATGGTGACCCTTTTTTATTTTAAACACCAAATTACAAAATAACTGTAACATTATATAACGTGTTATATTACAGTTTTATTGTTTTGTGGCGAATTACACCTAAGAGATACGGTACGTTTAATTTTGTGCTTGCTGGATTTGAATGTTTTCATGTTTACATACATTTATTATTTTTCATGTATTTTAATACCAAATTATAGAACACAAAGAAAGAATTATAATATACAAAGAATAATATAATAAAATTAGAATTATGTTGTATTACATATCATAATACAACATAAAATAGAATTAAATCTTTTTACATAAAATACATAAATTGCTCATACATATTTATAACATTTTCGATACACATTTTGTTTAGAAAGGATATCTCATATACTTACAAAATACAAATAATAACATAAAATTCGCGTATGATTCAAGAAAATCTAAGTTCTGACTCTGCAATAAGAGTCATTACATTTTCATTTAGTAAATGTTTAATAATACAATGTTTATTATACAACGACAATTTTAATTTTGTACCTTCTAATATAGAAATAAAAATTGCTAAATTTTAAGACATTTGAAACCAAATATTCAAACAAATTAATTTAAGAAATTTGTTTTATAATATGCGTCTGCAAAAATGGAATTACGAAGTAATGTCTTTTTTAT